GCTGCGATCAACCTGAAGAAGACAAAAAGTGGAAGGACTGTGAATGGCAAGGCATGACAGATGTAAGTCACCCAGTCCGGCTTTGGAGGCCAAGCGTTGGGTGATGGTGTATCATTCTCCGAGTGACGGGAGCTTTGACTAATCACACCGAGCTAATTATTGAAACAGTGGACAGATGAAGACACAGGCTTGAAGTTTTGCGACCCGTCATGCTCTGGTGGCCTTACCATGGTTGCCATGGAGCACACGGGATGCTCAGGCGGTGGTGCTAGGGCAAGGTGTTGTAAGCCTGGTTGGACGACCTCAACCACTCGGTATGAAAACAGCGAGGACGAATACTTTGAGAGTCACATCAAGTGTGAGTGATTTTGAAGCGACCAGGAAATTAGCTGCTAATCCACGTTGCTTTCCACCAGTGTTCATGTCGAATCCTGTCTGTTCAAGTAACATCTTTTTCGGAAACCCGCTCAAGGCTCGAGATGAGCAATCTGTCTCCTATTCGAATGGTCTGTTGAGCATATAAACCTGTCCACGTAGCGCGATGTATGTTACTAACACTACCTCTGCTCTCCAGGCACGCTTGCCAGCCGTCAGATTTGGGGTATTGGCGATATCCAGAGTTTCGCGACAGAGCAGTACATGGAGAAGATGGTTTCGGAGCTCTTCATGGGAACACCGCGAGAGTCGACAAAGAGCATCTGGAACAACACAATGCTCTCGTACTCTGAGTTCAATAGTCTGTCCTACGCCAATCTTCACGACTACCAGCAGGCTCAAGGGTACGACTACTATCTCCAATTGGGCACCCAATGGCCCCGATACGTCGTATGCAACTTAGGAAGCATCAATGCTGCCATCAAAGGAGGTGATGGTGATGGCGATGGTACCTGCACCATTACCTGTGCCTGCACTAGAGATGATTGCTGCGCTGAGGACGACGATACTTGCATCAACTGGAGCAAGGACGGCGAGACGACAGCTCTGCAGAAGAGAGGCGAAAAGAAGCCTTATCCTTGGATTGCTGTCGACCCTTTTACACGCGCCCAAGCGAGTTTGCCTTGGAACGCACCATCCGTATGTTGAAGTCCTGGGACCCATGATGTTTTTGGCCATACTAAAATGCGGAACAGTATCCCTCCCCTGGCGACTTGAACGTGAACACAGAGAGAACACATTTTGCCGATGCTTGGACATACGACCCAAATTGTGCCAACTTTGATCCAATCGTCATCGATCTCCTTCCCAATGGGCCCACGGGTCCGATGATCAAGGGATACGAGAGTAAGTTATGTTTCTGTACATTTCGACTACACGAGCTGACTTCGGCCTCGCTTGCTTTGCAGACGATCACCCCTTTGAACGCAAGATGACATCCATTTGGGGAGATGATGCGCTTTTTGGGCGACTTGCTGCCGATGTCGGTGAATCTAGATATGCTGTACCTTTTGACTTCTTCACTGTGTCGCTACAGCAGACCAACGCGGCAGGTCAAACGATTCAGAACATGTTGATGAATACGCTGGGCAGTAAGACGAATCGTGGGGTGATGACCTTGATGATCAAAGACGCGAATTTGCTTAAGGAGAAGGTGAGACTGTTCACATATTCCCACGTTCTAGCCGGAATAACGACTGATGGTCGATTTATAGTTATGGACACTCAGAGACGACCTCGTTTCCCCCACGAAGATGGAGAATCTTGTGTATGGAAATTGTCCGAAAGACGCGCTGGACCAGATCAAAAAGGTGGGGTTTCCATCAAATCAATAAAGGTCATCTGCATGGACCGTGGGTACTAATGACCATGTTTGACGCAGGTCCTTTCCGTCTACCGATACCATTTGCGTCCAGGATTTCACGACAAGCTCAAAAAGGTCGTCAATGATTTCCGCGACCTGCTCCGGATTGCAGAGCAGCATTACGCGAGTACTCACGGCGGTGCCAGCCCAAACGCAGTAAACCATTTTGATGAATGGTTCAAAACTACACTTGAGAAGATGAAGGACGTCACTCAGGAAGTCGGCAACCAATGGCTCCCCGAGTTGGCTCGCAACCCTGCTGTTACTGGCAACGCTGTTGACAATTCCATACGCCAGAACTTGGTGAATGCCTTCAACAGCCTTCCAGATATTGATACCACGGGATTCTTTCCTTGAACCTGCAGTAGAGTGGCTTGCATGCTCCAGAGCTGCTTTCATACACGACAAAAATTACTCTCGCATTCAATCTATCATCCAGGAAGAAAGGTGGCTCATATTCAGCGGAAACATACGCAGGACCGGGTTGTAACAACTTAAGAATATCTTCATTCGAATGATGTAAAAATGTATTTCCTATACCCGTTGTAAAGCTTTAAAGGGCGCCTGGGCGTGCTATTCATTGACGTGGTGGAATAAACTTTCGTCGAGTTGCCATTCAGCTTCACTAGGTCTGCTACCGCTGAGTGTACCACTTCTCCCCTGACCCTTCGGGTATATCGACGCGTTCGAAGGTCCAATTCTCGCTGGAGGATCTTTCAACCTTCTCGAACCATGCATCCGCTAGGTCATGCGGGCTAAGCCTCATCCAGCCGTCGTAGTTATCTTCATCTTCAGTGCCGCTGAACCGTCGCACTGCTAGCGAGTCGACGAGCCAAACGTGGACACCGGCCCAGATGTGGTTGCGGGCCTAATAGTTTGTCAGCCCAGCGGATATTGACAAAAATATTGAACAGATACGACTTACCCTTCTCTCTGCGCGAGGCACGAGTTCTGTCGACGGCAGGTCGTCGGGAAGGGCAGCGAGAGATCGCACGGAGGCCTCGTCGATAACGAGAAAGTCGCAGAATCTTGGGCTTTCTCCTAGGCCGGAACTGATGTCACCAATTGCACCGCGACGCCACTCCTCAAATACCTGCGTGAGTGTCTGGATGGTCTCTTGGCTCGCGATGGAAAGGTCAGGAAACTTGAGCTTCTCAGATTCCTTGTCCTCGACGACCTCGAGAATGAACCGGCGTGCAAGTTCCTCGTTGACCTCACCGTCGGGCTTGTTCATCACGAGACGGTTAGCGTGGATGAAGTACTGAGTAACCCATCGATTGAGTTTGTCCATCGCGATCGGCCAGAGAGTGTTGGACTCTTCTGAGTATGCAGTGCGCAGGACTGTCCCAACAAGTCAGCCGCCAGCGTCATCGATAATCGAAAAGGTCAGGGTGGGTGGGCATGGAAAGTCGTGAGCACTTACCCGTATAACCCCAGGATCCCGCAGCGTATGTGATGCCTGACTGTTCGCACCTGAACATGGAGGTGAAAAGCTCCTCCACCCTTACCATGGCTTGGCCATCCTTGTCGCGATTCTCCCTTCCTCCGCGAAACTTGTAGAACCTCGGATCTGGGGAAGGGAAAGTCTGTTGGATTGACATTTCGATAAGTTGAGCCTCGATGAGTGACAACAAACTTCCTTCGAATGGGCTTTGTGCGATCTCAAAAGTGTTGATGTGAATGAGGCGCCGTAACGGGTATTATGAGATGGGCACGAGATGTGTGTAAGATGTTCGGGAGTGATTCGGATGAATGAGTTTAGCTACCACGAATAAGCCTGGAATATGCAATTGAAGGGGTAGAACCGGAACCCTTGTCTCAATGTCAGATTGCCATCAGGAAAGGGTCTCTCATTCACCTAAATAAGCGCCGGCGACGAATGCCTCTTCAAGACAAAACCCATGCAGTCACACTCCCAGCCATAGCTAACAGACATGGAGTGATACTGGAGCTCATTCGCACACCTAGCGACTCTTGACTTTGCACCTCCTCTGTGAATTGACCCACGACGTTGCCCCTCGGCCAGTATTCGCACACAAGATACCACTGGCCGTCGCCACATAACTTGCGGCCGCATCCGACATCCGTCGTGTCCTTCCATATAAGCTGTGTAAAATGACCCGTTTCCTCGTCAAATTCGCCCTTCTTGAAGTTGTAGTCGTCGCGCTCTTCGCCCCACGCCTCAACGCTCGCCGTTGTGTTGGGGTATCCCTTGGCCAGGTTCTCGCCGTAGGGACCACCCGAGTGTTCAAAGTCGCAGCTGTCGCCCGACATGTCGTCAAGGTAGTCGGTGGCGAAATCGGCAAGCGTTTCATTCCACGTTACGGAGGACGCATTGTGCTCGCCGCGATAGAAATTGGTGCTGTTGAGGACTGCCGAGGTGAATGTGTTGTCTGATGTCCACTGTGGCTCTGCCGTTGGACTTGGGGGCGCTTCAGTGATTGTTGTCACTACTGTCTGGGCGGAGACTAGAGTGTGGAGGAGGGCGAGGGCGAGTGCTTTTCTGAGATACATTGCTCCAATTGAGTGAATCTCAGCGTGATGTTATCCGTGCTGGTGAATTCCGACTTAGGTATACGCATCAACTATGTAAGATGTGGTGACGCTTAACTCGAGTGAAATACTTCTCACTTCCTCCAAGTCTCCGAGGTTGGCATCTCATGATGATTATAAGGGACCATCATGAGGTGTATTCGCGAAGAGACCGACCATCATGACATGGCTGGCTTATTGGACGCGGAAGCTGCAAAACCAGGTTTGCGCCCATGGCCCTGAGTTCCCAGCCAGTCATCAGGCCTCTCGGCGCGTGGTATGACGCAGTCTGGCCAACTTTGGGGGTATTCCAAGTCCACCCTGGACTGCAGGGTGCTGACAACCACCTCTGGGCAAGCCAATGATGGATGTTCTTGGGGGCCCTTGGCAACTCTAGGGCTTTCGAGCACATGCATGTTCATCCGTGCTTGGGCGACACCTGTGGCTGTGGCTCAGCCTACTGTGCTGATATTTGAGACCGAACCAGCTGGTCCTCCACCCCATACTCTCAACTCTTTTCCCCGCGCTTCGTCCATATGAGAGGGAATGATAAGATTGTTTAAATCGCGAGATTGGTTTGAAGATCAGGGTTTCTTGATGAGCTTAATTGAAGGTTTGTTTGATTCGTCTCTAGTGGTCATCTGAGCAGACAACCTTGAAGAATTTCAGTCTAAAGGGTGGTCAGGACCTGTAGGTAAAATCTCACAGCGACTGCCTCCCGGAAACACGCCTGATATAGTGCTGCTACTGCTGGGTGTGTGATTGAGGTGCTGCTGTATGATCTAAGCAAGCCTTGATGGACTAGGGGCGCGGGAGGTTCGAGAGTACTAGTAATTGTGACAAACACCAGACACAAAACTGACTTGATCGTCATAAGCATAAACTAAATGAGCGAATACATAGGCTAGATCTGTGATGGATTGATTTGAAGCTCGAATTGCTTACTTCTAGCCATCGGATGCAACGACTTCTAGTCCGGACACAAAGCACGGTACGATAAGCCAAGGACAAGAGAAGTAATGAAGAGGGGAATCAACTGAAATGCTATCTGAACACACGCTATGCTAAACTGAATGGAATTCTCGCTACTTTCCTACACCGAACCTCCATTCTTGATGCTTTTCAATGGATGCAGCCATTTGTAAGTGCCCTCAAATGGTTCCGTGGCCGAGATGAAGTCCAATACTCCAGACTTCTGCGCGTTCGGCGACACGATGAAGGTGATGAAGAGTTGCTGGACAAAGGACCACGACATGACATACCTCGACATAATCCAGTCCCACGTCGAAGCCCACGCGTGCATCCTAGTCACACGCGCAGACTGCTCGAGATCTTGCTCCACGCGTTCCCGCCTTTCCTGCCTGTACGCCTCGAACTGGACCTCCAGCGCCGAGAAGTCGGGCGTCTTGCTGTTGGCTTCGTTCGCAGAACCAGAGACGAACTTCTGGAGCCTGTTGCAGAGCGCCACCACGTCCTGCACGCCATTGTTGAAGCCCAGGCCAGCGTTAGGCGTGAACTTGTGCGCTGCGTCGCCTACAAGGACCACTCTTCCGTTCCAGCTCCAGTGCTCGCAGAGGCCCTCCTCCAGGCCTGCACCGCCGGCATTGAAGCGCTCCTTGTAGACATCCTTAACTTTCAGGGTGTCTGTGATGGGCCAGTCTGCAAATCTCCCAGCAAACGCATCCAGTTGTTCGTCGGTGAACGAGATGCGTTCCGTCGTGGGCTCGGGGAGCTTCTCGTACAAGAAAATCCAGCCCCTATCCTTGCCAGTAATGTACATGGCCGAGTTGTCGGTCCCCGACGTCTCATAGCTCTGGCCCGTCTCTGTTGGGCGCGGGAACGAGGCCCACATGCACTGGTACAGTGTCTTGAAGGGCTTCTCAGCGTCCCACGTCTTCTCGCGGGAGGGATCTTCAGCAACGGCGAGTTTGCGCATTTGCCGGCGCGTCGCTGAGTGTACACCGTCAGCACCAATGACAATGGATCCGTCGTAGGAAGAACCATCTTCACACGTGACGGTCACTCCCGTATCCGTGGAGACGATGCCGGCGAGCTTTTTGCCGGTGAAGTATTTTGATTTGGCAGCTTCCGGTAGACCATCGTAGAGGGCCCCGATGAGGTGAGCCCTGTGAAATGCGACGGGTTCTGCGCCGTGGCTAGAGGATGGAGAAGAATTTGTTAGCGAGCACGCGATTTGGCTTACACGGACATGTGAAGTGGGGTGGGAATAGGGGTTTGCGAAAACACGACGAAGGAACCAAAGGAAGAAACTTACTTTGCTTTGAAAATGGCCAGTGTCTCTGCATGCTTGAATGCGTATCCGTCGACGGTAAATCCTTTGTTTTCGTGCAGCTTGCCGCCAATTTCCATGAGGTTATCAAGGATGCCAAATTGATGGAAAATACGCAGGCTCGGTGCACCCAGGACGAGACTTGCGCCGAGATCCTCGACGATGTTTGTCCTGCGTTCGAGGACAACGAAGTCAATTCCCGCGTGGTGAAGCGCATGCGCGGCAGTGATGCCGCTAGGTCCACCACCAACGATGATGACTCTGAAAGGCCCGCTTGACATGATGAATGAATTGTGAGTGCAATGAAGTCTCGGGTACTGCGAAATTGACCTAGGAAACGGCCTTGGGATCGTGCCCGGTGATATATACCACAAGAGGCCCGTCTCCACCGAGACGAAGCCGGGTCTCCGCCCTCTATGATTGTCCGTCTAAGTTACCGGGCGCTGGTGCGTCCATTGGGTGGCTGGCCATCGCAACGGACCTTGTATGAGGTTCCATTTTGTTGTCGACGTAGGATCGGGTGCTAGGTCTCTTGGGGTCAAACTCTGGCCCGTTCCCGTCCCATGTCGACAAGGACTTCACTGGTTCGCAGCGTGGATGGAGTGAAGGAACGAACTGGCAGGCCCACCACCCATGTTGAATTCCGGGCAAAATCGCGCAGAGTGAATTCAACTGCTGGACTATGTCGTCAGCAATTTGCCCACTTGCGGTGGTAATAAGTCCACCGATGCGCCGGCTGTCGACGCGGAGTCGGCGAATGTCCACCTCGGAGACTTACTTCACTGCAGTGATTACTTGCAAGGAAAACATGTCTTCAGAGCAGAGCTGATAGATAGTGGTACGCCACCATGCATGATTATCAAAGCCAGGACCCTTCGATGCACCGGGCAAAACCCATCTGAACCCCCGGAGATCCCACCTAGAGGCCCGTTCAAGGTCCGAAACAGGGTAAATGCTACGTCACGCTAGAAAAAGGTAATCAAAGGCAGTGGTCACAATCCGATTTGCAGTTTCGGTCTGTATGGCTCATGAATCATGGGTTTAGTGACGTTGAACATGGCGGAGTTCGCAGCAACAACGGCAACTTTTTGCGAAAGTTGCACCCACAGATCTCGGGCCTTATGATCTCCGATGACCCGATAGTAAGCACATTGTACGGAGGAAGAAAAGCACCGTGCTGCCGTGCCATCCCGCTGGTGTCGGGCTCGATTTACCGGGATCAAGAGAAGATGCTTTGGGATCCGATAGGCTATGTCGTACATTCGAGATGACGAAGTCTATTATAACAGGAAACTGGTCTTTTCTCAAAGGCTCGGGAACCGAACTCAGACTCTTTCTTGGGCGCGAAAAGGCCACCCACATGCACCATAGGGGGGTGGGTTGAAACCCATTAAAGAGTCAGCAGCATTATCGACCATATGCTTCAGGTTAATAGTAAGACGATGTGCGTCAATGAAATTGGCTATTCTCTCCAACTTTCTTCTACTTGTGTATGTAATTGCTCAACAAGCCTGGACAAGCATGAGCGAACAACTGGTGGCTATCGCTCTAAAGGGTGCGAATTGTTACTGCCTGATTTATGTGCCCAGCCTTTGCTATTCGCAAGACGTACACACTTACCCAATTGCAAGTCTAATTCTGGTAGCTTCATCACACTGATGAGGGGGATGATAGCCTGGAACAGAAGTCTCCAAAGTATTCTGAGTCTTCTGATGGCGGGAGACTACATAGTGTACCGGAGTTGTCATCGCGGGCTGGTCCCTGAAGTATCGGCATAGCCAGTGCTCTATCAAGCTCGCAGAACTACAAGTGTTCAAAACGTCTCAGTATCTATTATTAATTCTGTAAACATCTCATCGAGAGAAACTGTATTTCAACTGCCACAAATCACGACTTGCCAAGCCTGATTGATTATCCTAGGGCAAATGTCGGGACCCGGGCGTAATAGATATATAAACTACATACATTTTGAGGTGTTGCTCAACATTTCGCAGACGAGACAGCTCAGTGAAAAATGACTTCTCATTGATGAGGAGATTTGGGGTCTAAGAAATATCATGGGCAAGTATTTTGGGGCGGAAAGGTGATGTCTAGGATCTCTACCCACGGAAAAACGGCTTGAAAAATCACTCCCGGTTAGCCGATATGTCAGACTGAAGTGGATGGCGCAACTCAACCAGGTTAGCGTTCTGGGTATTGATCCTTATCTGGCGAGACCTTCCGAACAAGAGTGCACAGCATGCTATATCTAGCCATATCCTTCAACGGTCATTGTCAGCCTGCTGCCTAGAGTCCGAGATCACCAACCGGGGCTTTTCCGATCTGAACCGTCATCATGTCGAGATCCTACCCATTCTTCTACACTTTTCCGTAGTACAATGACATTTCAAAATTGAAAACAGAGACATTTTTCTCCCTGTTGCTCATCCAGACCGGTCTGTTATTCTCGTGACAGGTTCGCCACGGTGTATGCCAAGTCGAAAGTCTTAGACAACTAGGCGAGGGGTGCGGAGACCGGGGTAGATCGCCAATGCCCCAGCCCAGTCTGCCTGGCTTGGCATAAGTTGCCTTGCGTATAAGAACAGTTGATCAGAATATCCCGTATGGGAGAATTATCTAGTGTGGTTTTGACTATCAACTCCAGTCCCGTTCCAAAGTTCCACCGCAAACAACAACTAACATCATGAAGCCTCTTTCATCAATCGCGTGCCTCCTAGGTACAGCAGCTGCCGCGGTCGACATTCTGTTGCCACTTTATATCTACCCTATCAACGATCTCCAGAAGCCTTACGATGGGACCGTGGACTGGCAAGCAGCTATTGCTGCCATCGACGCTCACCCGGATTTGACATTCAACGTCATCATCAATCCCAATAGCGGCCCTCCCTTTGCTTTTGAGGATGGCATCAAGATTGACTGGGCCCGGTGGATTGGCCAAATTAACAACCGTCCCAACACTGTGACCTTGGGCTACATCTCGACCCTCGGTACAGTACAAGCCCAGCCCCAGGACATCGCCGTCGTCAAGCAAGGGGTCGACACCTACGCCGCGTGGGATACTACCAACGGTTGGGACGGCAACTCTTGGGACATTCACATGGACGGTATCTTCTTTGACGAGGTCAACACCGCTTCCGCCCAGCTTCAGTACTACACTGATATCACCAACTATGCCAAGTCCGCTACCGGTGTGGTGGTTCTCAATCCTGGTGTGGCCGTAAATCCCGCCAGCTCCTCGCTATATACCGTGGCCGATGCCATCCTGTCGCTGGAGACGTGCTACACGGCCGACCCCGATGCGCCACAGGATCGGTGTCCGAGAAACACGTACACGCCGTTTACTCCCGCGTCGTTGAGCTCGCTGCCGACGGACGCTACATAGAGAGCCAAATCTGCGGTCTTAGTACACGACTTTTATGACGATTGGCAGCCTTATCAACCTGCGCCTTTGGCGACTCTCCAGGCGGACATCAATGCTATTGTTGCGCAGGGTGTACATAGCCTGTACATCACACAGTGGGGGTACAATGAGAGCTTCACGCGGGAGCCGGCCAGTGTCGGGACCGTCTCGAACTTGCTGGCGCTGGCTCAGGGTTTGGGATCTGGCGTGCCTCTGTGAATGAGGTCTTTCCAAGCCTTGGGAACTATTGTTGGCTCATCCATCCCGTTGTTGGATTTGCGCTAGCATGAGTTTGGCCAAATAACATGTGGTGTTTCTGAAACTCACGTCATGTAAGTCTACCATGCTTCAAGTCAGTGGTGCAATGAGAGATATCAACTCTTTTCTAGCTCTAGTCTTTTCAAGTATATAGGCTGAGACTATCTCTCAAAATTCGCTCTTGCCGTATGGCTGTGCGCATGATGCGTGTCGGCTATAATAACCCGGATTCATCAGATTTCTTTGCTCGGCTACGCTATGATGACGATGCATTGAACCTCTTGAACACCAACTCATAATCCTCTTCCGCCTTGCCTTTCCGTAGCATAAAGTCCTGTGACAAAACACCCGAGCTGGGCGTCGTAAAGTCCAGGCGATATAGTGATTGAAATCCATACTTTTCGTAGATTCCCTTCGCTAGAGGCACAGCCTCCAAAAACGCCAACTTTCCTTCCTCGTCTGCCCTCTCGACGCCCCATCTCAGAAGTGGACTGGCTGCGCCTTTCCCCTGGTGCTCTGTCCGGCAAATGATAAGCTCAAGGTACCAGTGTCTGGTTTCGCCCATAATCTCAGCGTGCTTTCTGCCAATGGAGCCAAAGAAGTGGTTCGCAAACTCTGGATTTCCTTCTTTCGGCCAGACGTCTGCTGGAGGCGGCGGCTCGACGTTTGTCTCATTGGGTCCTGCTGGGCGAACCCACTTTGCGCAAGCGATGGGTAGGTCGGGGTCCTCGTAGTCTGGATCAGTGATGATGAGCCACTGAGATCGAGGTTCGCTTATCTCTTCCGCAAAAGATTTGGCAAGGAAGTCGCGGACTTGCGTGGTTGCAGGGAAGCATGTTATGGAAACCGGGTTGTCATGAAAGGCGGAGAGGTAGATGGATGCGAGGGCCGGGCCGTCTGCTGGGATGGCGGTGCGAAGTTTGACGGGCATGTTGGGAAGGGTTGAATGGCAGTTGCTGGTTGTGAACTGCTTCTCTAGTCGGAAATCCTTGCGATTCACTGTGCAGGCGTTTTCTACTCATCAACAACCTCAATGGCTTTTAGTTGTAGAGAGAGAAAGCCAGTCTTTGTGTCTCCTCCTCTTTGACTTTATGCACAGTTGTTGAAAGGAGCGGCGCAATCAATTGCCTCTTTGAGTATCGCGCTGGCGGGTTGGATGACCGTTTCTGTGGCTATACTTTTGCTTCATAAGGAGAGCATGGGTACTTGCATAACTTTGTCTTATGTCTTTCATAATCACTCCATCACTCACTAAAATGACTTAGCAAGTGCGGGGGCTACGTCCTGCCTGCAACTCTCACGCACAACCACAACAAAGGCAAAAGAGATATCTTCACGACAGAGATGAGATTTGAACTCATGCGGCCGAAGCCATATGATTGCGAGTTTAATTCGAGTCATACCCATTAACCACTCTGGCACTCTGCCCATGTCAGATGCAGGGATGAAAGAGAGCGTGGGTTAAGTTGCCTCCTGGGTGGTGTGGTGGAGGTTGCGGAGAAGTCGGCAATCCTCGGGGTGGGGTGACAACTTGGGGGCACCCAGACGTGAAACGGCATTGCCTGATGAGGACTTCCAGCACTATATATGTTGATTCGGACTGAAGTTGACGGCCCTAAGTCTTTAGTGGTGACCTACGGCTTGTGAAGCAAAAGTGTGAATTTCAAGGAAGCTCCCGACGTAACTGCCATGAGGACAACACTCTTTCTGCTTTTGTTATGTAAGACAAGACACCGCTCTTTTGTTACTTACATGAGCCTGAAGGATAAAACCTTTGACCTGGGTTAACACAAGGGTAGATGAGGGGTTGTGCCTTGCCGGACTTCCATCCCGGCCTCTTAACTTCGGAAGGAACAGTCGGGCCCCGATTACGGGCAAGCCTGCTCCCAACAGAAATATTCTATTGCTCCATAATTGTGGTCACCATCACCTGCTGTACATAAACTCAAAGAAACAGCTTTCACATTAAATACCACTCGCATGCAAGCTCTCCCAAACTAATGCAAACACAACCCGAGTAGTTCCACGCCTGCCTCAAAGGGTATGGGCTAGTGGATCGTTAGTTGCGGGAGGTTCGGAACACTAAATCCAAGCTTAAAAGCGATGTACTGATCGGCTTGATCGGCCTAAAAGCCCTAAGCACGACATCGGTACGAACCGCGCTGCGATTACTAGCATCCCACCGGGACTGATATATCCCGGAGCTGGTCCCGGTCACCTCAGAGCTATGCGTTCTAAACTGTTGTTCATCCCTTCTCTTGCGTGGGCGTATTCAATGCTTCAACGTTGCAATCTTTAGATAGGCGAGTTGTAATCGAAAACTGGAGGGAAAATACCCCGGCATACCAAGCGGACGGTTACATGGCTTCTGAATGGTATCATTGCCATCTGCAGCACTCTGTCTTGGCGAGCTCACTCAGCCTATGAGACGCCGGGCGATGCGGAGTAGCAGAGATGGCCCGACGGATAGGAGAGGCATAGGCGCAACCGAACAGAAGAACTTTAGCATTGCAGCGATGAATAACCTTGGTGACGTTGACCAATAGTGCCAAGAATTTGCGACATCCTTCCGACCTGCCTATTCCATATCAAAGGACCAGGTTCACCAATTGTCCGTCTTACAACATCCATCGCCAGAGAGGGGTCCACGTTCAGTACCTGAGGACCGAACTCCTAAGCGATGGTCTTATTCGAACGGTATTCTCGTCATGGCTTGGCTTATGCAGACCGTGCAGAATACTGGCCGATGAGTGAGCGAGCGAAATGCAAGTATTCTGCAGCTACCTAGCCGTGAGGTTCATTTCCTGGGACTTTTGTGACATCCGAGTAACATGGCGTCGCTTGGCTTGGAAGATGGAAGGACGGACCATATTCTCGGTGCTATAAATGCTGACGGCAGTCCTTCCACTTGCGGAATAAACTTCTCGCCCTGGACTGCATCTGACATTCAATCTCTGCGGCGGAAGTTTCCCCTCCAGTTGTGTTGGTAGAGAATCAGTCGCCAACATGAAGTCCAACGCGCTACTTGTCGCCATTGGCGCCTTCTCTGGCGTCTCCATTGCCAGAGAGCTGGAGCCCAGCGCCGAGCTGTCAGCCTGGTATGATACCGGCGCGGCTCATCAAGAGAGTATGGAGCACAAGATCGTAGGTCTGATCCTTAGTCTCCAAGCAGCATCAAATCTGACAGAACCAGGCCCAATGGGAACAAGCCGAGGCCGAAGGAAAGTTCGATTCGACTCAGTGGACGGGTCGCGTCAAAGACTATCTCGCATGCAAGGATGGCAAGGTAGAACTCGTCAAGGGCGACCCTCTTCAGACGTTCCGATGCAAGGATGTAAGTTAATGGTTGAGAATAGGATCGACCTAGTCGTCCTAGGAGCCAGAGAGTTTCGCTCACAAATGACAGCTCGACCTCTATGACTTTCAACCTCACGCAGCGTTTGGCAACTCAACCGGTAGAGGTTCAGGGTCGTGGGGATGGACAGCACCAAACGGCCGGGAGTTCTCTGCCATTGGACAGCTCGATGGCACCGCTTTTGCCGAAGTCTCGAAGCAGGGCAAACTGATATATCTCGGAAAATTGCCGTACTTCTCCGAGCCAAGCAGATGGCGTGAGATCAAAGCTTACAAGAACTATCTCGTCGTCGGTAGCGAGGCGCCTGGTCATGGAATCCAATTCTTTGACTTGCGCAAGGTATGTCAGACCTGCGGGGAATTTTTCGTGTCAAGCATATGTATATGTGAGCTACGGACTAATACCGCTTCAGCTTCTCGACATTGACCCCAAGAACCCCGTTGTCTTCTCCAATGAGAAGGATTTGACGGCTCATTGGACCGAAGCTTTACCCCTTGGTCGCAGCCACAACGTCGTTGTCAACGAGGAAAAGGGCTATGCCGTTGCCGTCGGCGCTCAGCCTCGTCGCAATTTTCCCTGCGACTCTGGCCTGCAGTTCCTCGATCTCGCCGACATCAACAACCCTCTCTACCTGGGTTGCGCGGCTGGCGATGGCTATGTTCATGACGCGCAGTGCATCGTGTACCGTGGACCTGATGTCAAGTACTGGGGCCGCGACATCTGCTATGGCTACAACGAGGATACCTTGACCATGTGAGTCCTTTGACGCCGACTTGTTCTACGCTCTTTTTTGACAAGCTTTCAAGCTACGATGTGACCGAGAAGAACAGCACCAACATCATCTCTCGTACCACTTACGAGGGTGCGACCTACACTCACCAGGGCTGGGTTATTGACCCCAACTGGCAGGACTTCTTGGTTTTGGACGACGAGATTGACGAGAGGAACAACACTGGCCCGGCGGCTGACGGTTTCCCTGTGACCTACTTCTGGGACATCAGATCCCTTGAGAAACCCAAGAACTCTGGCATTTTCAAGGGTACCGTGCGGAGTGTCGACCACAACCAATTCATCCACCGCGGTCTGGCGTACCAGAGCAACTATGGTGCTGGGCTTCGTATCCTGGACATCTCATCCATTCGATGGGATCCCACAGCCAAGAACGTCAAGGAGATTGCCTACTTTGATATCTTCCCAGAAGATGATAATGAGCCTGGCGGTGGAGCAAACAACTACACTGGTACTTGGAGCCATTATCCGTACTTCAAAAGTGGCTACATTGTCATCAACACTATTGAACGTGGCGTTTGGGTTGTGAAACGATCCAACCCCTGGTGGTGGCCGTGGTAAGGGGCAGACTTCACGTCTA